GGGGGAGGGGAGGGGGAGGGGAGGAAGAGGGGCGGGAGGGGAGGGGGCTATATATGCATGGGTGACATTCCCATGGTGCGATCCGCTCTTGGAAATGTCGTCGCTGGTTCCAATTCCAGATTGGAAAACCACGGCTATCCTGAATGATAACAGGGGGTCTTATCGACTCACGTACCGGGAGATGCATAGTGGTAAGTGACAGGACAGTGCACGCACATCCCCCGACGCGTGAATCCGACGCGTCTGATCTTGCATCTCCATCTTTCTCATCCTCCAACCGAAAACAAAGCATGCCGCGCACCACCACACCATGAGAGTCCTTTGCGTCGCAGAGAAGCCCAGCATAGCCAAGAGCATCACACAGATCCTCTCCAACGGCCACTGGAATACCGTTCGTCTTTTCCCCTCTTTTGGAGATTTTGTGGACAAGAGCTGAACTGGCGGTTTCAGCGTAACAGTGGGCATGATTATATTAGAAACTATGATTTTCCTTATAGGCTGCCGCCACCACTTGGGCAGGGGAGGGATGTTGATATGACTGTGACTGCCGTATTAGGACATCTCACTTCGAACGTGAGTCGGGATCTTGATGGATGGACGGCAATTGACGCGGTATAGGACTTTGACGATGATCACCGCAAATGGGGTTCCTGCGAAGCCTTCGCCCTCTTTGAAGCCCCCATCATCACCTACGTCGATCAAGTACCTCTCCCCCTCCCCCCTTCTTACGCCTCCCTCGTGACGCTTTACTGACGCTGGGAGTTAGAAACTGAAATCAGTCGAACGCAATCTCAGAAACGAAGCTCGCAACGCCGACATGGTCATGATCTGGACAGATTGTGATCGCGAAGGAGAACATATAGGCGCTGAGGTTGTGGAGGCGTGTAAGAAGGGGAATCCGAGGATTGTTGTGAAGAGGGCGAGGTTTAGTGCTATCATTGCAGCGTACGTCCATTCCTTCTTCTCCTTCTTCTTCCCTCTTCAGACCTCCGGACAGAAGCTAAAAAGAGCTATAGGCAAATACATAGAGCATGCTGCAACGCCGACAACCTAGACCAAAGACAAGCAGACGCCGTAGCAACCCGTATAGCTCTAGACCTGCGTATCGGCTCGGCCTTTACGCGTCTGACGACAATGACGCTGCAAGCTAGAATACCAGAGTTTGATAATCAGGTTATCTCTTACGGTGAGCCCTAGCTCTATCCGGCTCTGATGTGGAAGAAAAGCTGATGGGTTGGATGGGTTTCTAGGGCCGTGTCAGTTCCCGACGTTGGGGTTTGTGGTGGATCAGTATACCCGCGTACAAGCGTTCTCGCCTGAAACGTTTTGGTACATCCACGTTACCCTTCCTCGCCAAAACAACAACAATAACGCTTCTGACAATGATACCGACCAAGAGGAGCAAGGTGGAAGAAGGGGAAGGGGAGCAGGGGAAGAGATTGTAGAGTTCAAATGGAAGCGAGGTCATCTGTTTGATTTGGAAGTGGCTGTGATGCTCTTTGAAGGGTGTGCGGAAGATCCGGAGGCGGAGGTTATCAAGGTTGAGAGTAAACCTGCTACCAAGTGGTCAGTCTGGCTCTTTTACTTGGAGGCAGACAGGAAGAGAGATGCTGATGGGGGGGGGTGCAGGAAACCGTTACCATTGACTACTGTCGAGCTTCAACAGTCCGGCTCGCGTCTCCTGCACATGACTCCCAAACAAGTCCTCGACGTTAGTCCCCTCGCCCCTCCACTCATTTGAAAGCAGGATGGAGGCTGACGATGGGGGGTTTTTTTTTTTTTAGCATGCGGAGAAGTTGTATCAGAAAGGGTTTGTTTCGTACCCTAGGACAGAGACGGATCAATATGATCCGAGTTTTGATTTCAACTCGCTCATTGAGAAACAGACGCACAGCGAGCTGTGGGGAGATTATTCTCGCAAGTACGTTCGCCCTCCCCTTCCACCCCTTCCACCCCTTCCACCCCTTTTCATGACTGATACTAACAGTGAGTAGTTTACTGAATGGTGCATTCCAACGTCCCCGAAACGGCCGCAAAAACGATAAAGCCCACCCCCCCATCCACCCCACCTCCCACGCCTCCCCCACCGTCCTCTCCCCCCAAGAAGCCGCCGTCTACGCCCTCATCACCCGCCGCTTCCTCGCTTCCTGCTCTCACAACGCCACCGGCCGGTCCACCACCGTCACCATCGACATTGCCGGCGAACTGTTCTCGACGAGCGGGCTGGTGGTGGGGGATAGGGCGTATTTGGAGGTGTATGTGTATGAGAGGTGGGAGGGGAGGGGGGTGCCGGGTTTTGAGGAGGGGGAAAGGTTTTGGCCGGGGGTGGTGGAGTTGAAGGAGGGGGAGACGACGAGGCCAAAGTTGTTGACGGAGGCGGATTTGGTGGGGTTGATGGATAAGAATGGCATCGGTACGTCCCTCCTCCTCCTTCTCCTTCTTCTTCTTCCACCCGGGTTCTGGAGATGCAAGGCTGATATACCTGGGATGGGGTAGGTACGGACGCGACGATAGCAGAACATATAGCCAAGATCATCGAACGCGAATACGTCACGGAAAAACAAGAAGCGCGTATCAAGTATCTCTTGCCCTCCACGCTTGGGGTCGGGCTGGTGGAGGGGTTTAATGAGATTGGGTTTGATAGGAGTTTGAGTAAACCGCATTTGAGAAGGGAGGTGAGTCTTATACATGTTTTCTCTTGAGCGAGGTTGGGGGTGAGGGTGAAAGGTGAAGGGAAAAGAGCTGATGGGAAGGAAAGACGGAACATAGGATGAAGCTCATTTGCGAGGGCCGGAATAAGGGGCAGATCCTGGCGCAGACGATTGATGAGTATAAAGATATCTTTGTGCGGGCTAGGCAAGCGTTTCAGACTATCACCGACGTACGTCCCTCTTCCTCTTCTTCCCCCTTCTTCCCCTTCTAGGCAGAGCGCTGAATCGTGTAATAGTGCGTTCAGAGTTATCTCACTGGACAAGGGGAAGCGCAGCAAGCCTTGAGGGCTATGAACCGCGGTCGGGGCGCAGCGAGGGGCGCGAGGGGAGCGGCGCGTGGGGCAGCGAGGGGTGCGAGAGGAGGAGCAGGGCGCGGGGCGCGAGGGGGGGGAGGGGCTGGGGGCGGTGGGGGTGCGCCGAGAGGAAGAGGAAGAAGGGATGATGAGGAGGATAGTGATGAGGATAGTGATCCCGGGCCTGGGAGAGGAGGGGGTGGGAGGGGCAGGGGGGGGGGTGGGGCGGCGAGAGGTGCGGCGAGAGGGAGGGGGAGGGGTGCGGGGAATGTGGTGCCTGCGAGACGGGCGAGATCACCATCAGGTCTGTCTCTCTTCTCTCTCCTACTTTCTAGTGATATTTTGGAGTGGGGCTGATACTGGTGTAGCAGCGCGACAGCAAGACGCAGACGACAAGATGTGCAATTGCGGGCAAGAGGCTGTATCGAGGGTGGTGCAAAAGGCGGACTCGGCGCACAAGGGACGGTCGTTCTGGACTTGTTCGAAGCCGCAAGCAGATCAATGTGGTTTCTTTGTGAGTCATTTTCATCTGGTGCAAAGTCTGTGACTGCTGATACAGTTTGATAGGAATGGGCCGACCAGGATGGCGGAGGTCAAGCGCCACCTGCCAAGAAACCTCGCATCAACGTAGGTCGACCGCTTATCAACTTGGTCAAGAGGCTGATACAAGTTCCTGTTAGGCTCGAGACAACGCGGGACCTTCAAATCGTAATGGGAACGGCGGTGGAGGTGGAGATGTCAAGTGCGATTGCGGGCTTGAGGCAGTGTGTAATTCTGTCAATAAAGAAGGACCGAACAAGGGTAGAAAGTTTTGGTACGTCCTCTGATACAGTGCGGAGTTGAGCGGTGGCTGATGGAAGGGGTAGGTCATGTCCCAATAATCCTCGGGCGAGATGCAAATTCTTCTCGTGGGATGACGAAATGGAAGGCGGAGGTGGCAGTGGGCACGGAGGCGGTCGAGGAGGGGCGCGCGAAAATGGGGGAGGAGGAGGGTATGGCAATGGAGGGGGTGGTGGTGGTCAAGCTGGAGGTAAGCGATCATATGAGCATTTCGGAAAAGCGGGACTGACAAAGATCGACAGAGTGTTTCAACTGTGGTCAATCGGGCCATTGGTCCAGCGCGTGCCCTCAACCCAAGAATGGCGGTGGTGGCGGAGGAGGAGCAGGAGCAGGATGGGGAGGTGGCGGGGGCTCGAGAGGGGGTGGATCGTCGCGAGGCGGGGTGAAGAAGGGCAAAGCACCCGCAAGAGGGGGTGGAGGAGGCAGCGGAGTCATCGGCGGTGAGTCCTCAGCATTCTTTACAGATCAGCCGGATTCTGACGGACGTGTTTAGAGTGCTTTAAATGCGGGCAAGGTGGACATTGGGCGAGCGCATGTCCCAATCCGGACGCGGGAGGAGGGGGATCATCCTCGAGGGGAAACGCAAGAGGCCGGGGAAGGGGACGAAGGTAGAATAATGGAACGATCTCTGACGACGATCAACACGTTGTACAATCACGGACCGCACATACTAGCATGTTTTGGGTATATGAGTGGGTGACAAAATGCATTGTTTGGTAATGTTACAAATGAATGATGATGCTTGAGATGCTGATTATGAATCACTGATGGACCCTTGTTTGAACATTCTCCTCACCTCTCCGCCTTCTCTATATCCAACAACCTCAACAACCCTTCCCACTCCTCCTTCTTCATCCCATAGCTTTCCTTGGTCGACGGAAAGCTCCCATCACGCACGCTAGCCACATACCCTCTCACTGCCCTCCGCATCTCTGCCCCAAGATTACCGAACTGCCTGACGAACCGCGGCGCAAAGGCAGGCTTGACCATTTCTGCTGCAGACGCTGGTACGGTGGTCGTTTCCGGCGACACTGCAGGTGTAGAGTCCAAAGGATCGTCGGCGTAGATGCCAAGAACATCGGTGACCACCAAGACTTGACCGCTCGTCCCCTTCCCGGCCCCGATTCCGATAGTAAATACCCCTCGTTTCACCATCTCCTCTGTGATCAACTTGCCCAGATCCCTCGGCATGGCCTCCAACAGGAAAGCAAATGCTCCCGCATCTGCCAGAGCACGCGCTGTCTGAATCGTCTCGTAAGCAGACGCAGCAGTGCGGCCTTGGACAAGATAGCCAGAGAGGGAGACAGCTCTTTGGGGCTGGAGACCGATATGAGGCATGACGGGGATACCGATTGACGTCAATCGCTGGACGAGGGGGACAATCTCGAGACCGCCTTCAATCTTGATACCGTCCACGCCTCCTTCCTTGATCATACGCAAAGCATTCCGGACGCCTTCCTCCATAGAGGCTTCGAAGGAACCGAAGGGCATGTCGGCAAAGACGAAAGGTGATTTAGCTCCGCGGACGACGGCGCGGGCGTGGTGGATGATGTCGTCGAGAGTGACGGATGTGGTCGTTTCATGTCCGAGAGATACTTGGGAGAGAGAGTCGCCGACAAGACACATGTCGAGGTCGCATGTCTCAGATAGGAGGGCGGTGGGGTAGTCGTACGCTGTTAGACAGGTGATGGGCTCGCCCGATTGAGCCTGGGTCAGAAGAGACGCCAGAGTCTTTTTGGTTCGGATAATCTGAGGGGAGGCGACGGGCCGAGCAGACATGGAGCGCCGTTGCGAAGGGGCAAAAGGGCGGGGGAGAGGCCAAAGATGGCTGGCCGTGGTATACCTTCGCCTCTGACCTTTTGCAAACGGTCCCTGCGTCTCCCGGACAATGTCCGCCGCCTGAGGCAACTTGATTCCCATCGCCTCCAGCTCTTCCAAGCTGCTCCTCTCGTCCATCTCCTCTTCAGCATTGGCTTCCAGGAGCTCCGCGATGAGAGCATCGCTATCCTCAAAGTTCTCGGGTTGGTTCAAGCGCCTGATGCCCCGGTCGCGTATGACAGGCTTGGCTTTGGGGGAGTGAGGGAAAAGGTCGCCCCAGGAGGCTTTACGGGCATCGTGGTAGCTTTGTTTCGAGAGGGATTTGGAGAATGTGATTCTTTGAATATTGCCTCAAGTTGATAGTTAGCCCTCAGTATAGTCAGATGGGAGACTCGACATACCTTCAGCAGTACAAGCATCCATCGTGACATGCCCCTTCCTCTTCATGGGCGAAGCCACCAATCTCGGCCAGCTATACGCTTCCTTCCTCAGACTCGTCTCCAACTCTGCCTCGTCCACCTCAGCCGCGGCATTCTGCTCTGGCGCCGCTTCGTACTCTGGGACCACCTCGAGAATAGCTTCGTGCCCTTCAACCTCTCTCAGCACCGCCCTTCCTTGTGACTTTGCGAGTGCTTTCTCAGCGGCTTCTCTCCCGACTTTGCCCGTTCGGCCAAGAGCTTTGATACTTTCGGAAACTTGCCCGGCCACGGGTCGTTCACCTTTAGCGACGACGAGGTAGCAGTACCCCTTCACTTCTTCCCCGCGAGTAGAGTGTTTCGTCTTTCGCAAGAAAGACGGTCGTTGCAGGCGTTGAGTATATCCACAAACTTCTCTCGTATCGAGAAGAGGACATTTCGAATCATGCGGACAAGGCGCAGCGATATGCAAAGGATTTTCCGGTGTGGACTGTTGCAGAACGTAAGACCGGGCTTTGGAGATAGCAGCCCACCCTTGGGGGGTTGCGCGGTCGATGATGATGATGTAAGGAGAGTCGAAAGAGAGGAGTTGGCGGAGGTAGAGTTGCTGGGTTTGGGGGGTGGGGAAGGAGGCGAGGTGGAATGTGGATAGGATGAGGGAGGGGGTGGAGGTGGGGGAGTGTTTGCGGTTGTATTGGATGTTGGCGCTCTCTTTGGGGATCGCTTTGAGGGTTGCTATCAGTGACTGTCTTGAGTATTTGGGTAGTGGGGACGCACCTTCGGTGATTTTCTGAAGCAGATCAAGACCGTGCCGAGACGGGTGTACGAATTGATACTTTAAAGGCGGCTGGCCATGTTCTGACAGCCGGCGAGTCGAATGAAGTCCGCCAAAAGTATCCAGAGATGCCCTAGAAAACAGTAAGTCTTGATAGGCACCAGGGCACGATGACTTACCACAACCCAGACCCAAGCCCCGGAGAAAACTCGACAATCTCTCCTTCTTTCACGCCCTTTGTCCACGCCGAGCCCAGCCGCCTCTCCATCTCCTCCAAAACATTCTTGACTGCACTGTACTCTCCGGGAAGAATTGCAGAGGCTTTGGCGAGCTCGCCTTCGGGGGTTCGGAAGGTCTTTTCGCGGGGGTTTGGTTTGGGGGCGTTGGCGGGGAGGGGCATGTCTGGTAATGAGAGGTATGATTTCCGTAGGTCCCGTGGGTTGTCCAGCACTATACCAAATAAGTATTGAAACAACAAGGACCAAAGACACTCACTGCTGATTTGCCTCTGGATACCATCGCGCATTTCCTCTGGAAGCACGACCATACCTAGTCTCTTGCTGCCCAGAACAGCTGCTGGACTTCTCCGTTCCTCCCTCCCATACGCATCATACTCCTCCCCAGCTTTAGCCCTGGCGTCTGTTGGTGGCTCATCTATCACAAGCCCATCCCCAGCTGTTGAAGGTTCAATCAAGGACCCCTCAAGCTCCATGCCGCTGTTTGAATCTCGAACATCCGCATATTCCAGCTCCTCCAGTATTCTCCGCGGTAATGAAACCCTGTCCTTCCCCTTCAAACCCATGCCCATGGCCATGCCATTTTCGATGAGGTCCTTGAAGCTATCGTCGAGCTCTGGGTGGACTGGCTGGTGGATCTGATTTTCGGTGGCCACTGACCGGCGGAGGAGGGATGTAGATGGGGAGATGGATGTCGTTCTGGGCCGGATAGAGAGGAGCGAGTTCTGTCGTAGCAGTCGGTGCACTCGGGGGACCATTGCGATGTGTTAGGGAGGCGCTGTGTAAGCCTTTGAGTTGTCAACAAATATTTCAGAAATCTTTGAAACAAAAACAAATTGGATCTTTCCCATTGATCGGGCGAGTGTATATAAATACCGCGGCGATTTCATATTTGTTATTAGTTACACACCTCCACCTTGCCTCCATTTAACCTCCACTTCATTTGTCCACCCCACGCGCATCAACAACGCACCAATCGGACGCGCACGCATTGCGAACACAGCTCGCTCGTCAACCGATTGTCATACTATCCGCCACTCATTACAGAAGCACAAACACGCTCAATGGAGGCTACCCACCTCGCAAATTTCTCTGCATCCTCCCGCCGTGTATATGGTCCTGTCTGAGATGCATTCCACGTTGGTGGCCTAGCCAGTCCTCGACAACTTTGGATACGTCCAAGGCGCAGGTCCATCACAGCCACAATCAGGTGAGTACCCGCGATTTTGTGTGCTACAAGGCCCATGCTGACAGGGTTGACTGGCCTCCTGGCGCCCCTCACGCCGTTTGGTCGCCCTTCGCTTGTGCTTCGACGCGCAGTACTCGCAAGGTGCTCCCCGCTATGGTCGCACACGCTTGCGACAAGGACAGATGAGCTCCGGGGTGTGCTGGGGTCAATAGGGGGCAGAGAGGGACGAGGCATTGTATCGGTGATAGGGCTTGTAACAAACAGCAGTGGGGATGTCGTTCTCTGTGAGTAATGCACAAGATTCAGTGGTGCAAGATAGATAGATGAGTGAGTGTGCTGTAAAGGGTTGTTGTGCGCTTCTGCGCCTGGCTCGACGCAAGCCCAGCTTCTGCGCGTACTGGAGCGTGTTTAAGTTGATTACATAATGTCTGGGAAGTGACCGGACATGCGGAAGCAAAATGAAAAAGGTCGGCTACTCCTACTGACTTACTGAGTGAGACCGCCACCAGGGCCCATGGCATAAGGATTAGGCGTCTTGCCGCCCATATCACCAGCACCACCCCAGGCAGGAGTCTTTCCCCCATTTGCTGCACCATACGCTGGTGTCTTGCCGCCGTTGGCGCCCCAAGCCGGTGTCTTGCCACCAGCAGCGTAAGCAGCCGCAGACGTCTTGCCAACACTAGCCGCTGAAGTGTAAGGGTTAGGAGTCTTGCCATTGTCAACACCCGCCTTCGAGGTATCAGATCTGATTCGCAATTGGTAAGAAGAACTCACAGCATATGGATTTGGTGTTTGCCCGAAACGAGCACCAGGAGTCTTTCCGCCCATAAGCCCAGGAATGGCACCACCCTATTACAGTGTCAATCGTTTGTTATTTTAGAGGACATGACTCACCATTGAAGGGTGCATCGCTGTCTGTCCGCCGTATGGTCCAACATTGTAAGGGTTGTTGTGAAATGCACCGAACCCACCTGGAGCAGCAAAGCTGCCCCCTGATTCCAGAGGGAAGGTAGTACCAGTCTTTGCGCTTCATGGAAAATCAAGACGGTTGCGGAACATGTATAATGATAGCACTCACTCTTTTCGTTTCAATAATATTAGGGGGATGGACGATGTCTTGTTGCTTGTTTTGAGCTCCACTCTTGCAGTCTCACCTTGGACGTCCTTGATAACACCAATCAAGCCCTTGTTGGTGCCCTTGGTCACTACCACCAAAGTATTGATCAACCTATTCCTGTTGGCGTTGACAGCAGGTGCAGGCATCAGACTGGCACCACCGTAGAGAAGCTGTTGATTGAGAGCTGGGTTGATCTTGCCAAGGTCATTGACCGCCGACTTGGGGGTGACAGATATGAGAGAGCCTGCACGAGCAACAAAGACGCCGTGGTTGTCGGTGTACTCTCGGTTATACAAAAAGACGAAGAGAGACCTAAATATGTTGATGACTTCACCCTGGCGCAACTGAGGAAGATTTGAGCTAGCCGCCCCCAATCCTAGATTGATAGACTTACCTCGCCCTCGGTCTCTTTCATGTTGTCTCCGACCTTCATCTCATTTCCTTGAGAATCAGTGGCCACAGCGAAGCGCTTGTTGTCTCGTCTCAGAGTCACTTGCTCGGGAGATACACTTTGGGGCGCGCCGTTTTGATCGATAACCCTCAAAAAACCACCTTCGACTTTGGTGACCACGGCGGCTGTCGTGGAATCCAGCATGACCATGTCATGCACGTCGTAAATACCTTGGGTGGCGGTGAGGTTGCTGGTATCGGCAGCTTTTCGTAAATCTTTGGAAAAGACCTTGATTTCTTGCTCGCCCTGGTCGGACATCAAGGTGATTATATCGCCCTTGACCTCGACGACCATACCGGAAGCCTCAACATGCTTGCCTCCCAGCACCTTCACGTGCTCACCAACATCAAATCTCTTTCTCACACTCCTGGCGGGTACCTCGATGATCTGACCGTGTACTTCACCGCCTTCTGCTTTGATAGCGATGACATCGGGCGTGACGGTTTCAGCAATGCCGTACAGTCCCGTCTGTTCGCCTTCGTATACTTCAATCTTGTCTCCAGGGAACAACAGAGAAGTGGACAAGTTTCTGTTGGCGTCGGCAATGGCGGAGAGGTCAAACTTGGCGGCTGTCTCGTCGTCACCCGTAAATCGGGAGATTTCTTCCAAAGACGGGTTGACGTCCTCTGTGGCGACAGTAGGGATCTTGACGTCCTTGATACAGAAACCGTCGAGGAATTCGTCATTCTCGAACTGGTAGCTTCCCTGGGGCCCTTGACGGACACTTTGTCGGCCGTAGATCTTTCGCACGTCGTCATAGGCAAAGAGGCGGGATGGAGGTCGCACACCACCTGGTTTTCCAGCAGCCATCCGCTCCTTCCTTTTATCTTTGGGGGTCAAATCTATACGAGGAATAAATTTGATGCCAACGACACCACTCGTGATCTGGTCCACATCAACCACCTGCGCCAAATCGCCGGCGTGTCTGCCCCTCTTCATCCTGACCCACATGCCCGGTGTCAAGTTGACGTCCTTCTTCTTCATCTTGAGTAGAGGTGCCATTTCCTCGATGGGCACGAGAGAGACTCCTCTAGACATGAAGATACCGACAATACCGTTGACGGCAGCGCTGACAGCTGCCGACTGTCGGGCCTCGATGAAGATCATACCGGAAATGGAGTCTCGGCAAAAGACAGAGATGACGTCGATGGGATTGGCAAAATATTGTTGGGCAAAGACTTTCCTGAAGATGGAGGCGCAGATAGTGTGTTCACGACCAGCCTACAGCTTATGAGGACGGGTCTTTGCTGATAGACAGTAACTCACCTTGACAATCACTTTCCACAGATTGGGGTCATTGACACCAGGTATGAGCAATCGCTGAGGGACTGTATCACTGTCTCCATTGTACCTCGCCATTCCCGTTCCAGCATGTCTCTCCTTCAGTCTCTGAACAATGTCGTGCACATCTTCATCTTCGTTCCGCTTGAACACTCGATCAAGGCGTCGGTGTTGCTGATCATCCCTGGCCACAGCATCGTCGTGGGCCTCGTCAATGAATTCCGCCACTGGAAATCTGTCAAGCAAGGTATGATCACAAATGAGCGGCAGACATACCATCTCCGAAATCATTATCCTCATCCTCCTCTTCGTCCTCATCATCAACCTCAGCTTCAACATCCAAGAACCTGAATTTGCTGTTCTTCTTGGGTCTCTTCCGGGGGCGGCCTGTCATGGATGAGCTTGGTTCTTGTTCCCGGACTATAGACATACCTCTGCCCTCGTCCACTTCATCCTCTTCAACTTCTTCGTCTTCCTCGTCGTCTTTGTCATCGTCGCCGCTTCTGTTTCTGCTCGGCTCCTCCTCCTCTTCTTCTTCTTCTTTTGGTCCTTTTCCTCCATTGTTTTCCTCGGGGGCATTATCATAGTCCTGTGGATGTATCAGTACATATCCGGCGCCATATTACGGCAGCTTACCTCCTCGTCGGTCTCTATCAAATCAATGTCGGACTGATCAGCTTCAATGACTCACAGCAGCCTCCAATTTAGCCTTACCATCTGGGTCCACGATCCTAGCCTGTTTGGGATATCAGTTCCGTACTTTGCACTTCCGGGAACCCGACTCACCCTCTTCTTGCCGGCCGCTCTATCCTCCACTGGTGATCCCGTGGGTGGACTTGTGATCTTGGTGTCGGACATTGAGAGATGGAGATGTGAATTGTGGGTGCATATATCAGTTGAGACTTGAGAGTGCGTTGGTGCAGGAGGCGGCCAGCTCCGGAGAAAAGCGAGAAAATGTCGCCGCCCGATATTCCCGTGGGTTTTGTAACGGTGTGGTATTGAATATGTTTAACCCAATGAACCTCAACAAGGGACTGTGTTGCAGTGGTAGCATTCAAGACTTCGAGGTCTTAAAAACTGGAGTTTCATCTTGCGGTCACGGGTTCGAATCCTGTCGGTCCTTGTCTTTTTGCTCTTTTTGATACCTCCTGTGATATCTCTTAACAGCTGCCCATAAACGCATGCATGTACGGTGGAAATTCTTGTGCCCATCAACCTTAAATTCAACACGTCTTGCAAGAGCCCGGAAGCCTGATCTGACTGCAGAAGCAATAAGTAACGGAAGCAATCTCTATTGGTGGGGCGCCGGCAAACGGCTCACGACTCTGGACGGCGAGATTTCTGCTGTTGCGTGGTTTCTTTCACACGTACATGCTCCCAGCCCCACGCCTCCTCAAGGCCTTTACCAGAACTCTCCCCCGCCTCATCCCCAAGAACTCCGCACACACTCCCCCGATGCAGACCCCCGACAGAACCTCAAAGTCGGGTACCATGACCCCGGGCGCTATCGCGTCCGAACTTTCCAAGCTCGACCTGCCCGCGCCCACCCAGCTCCATCTCAACACCAAAAACCTCCCTCCTCCCAAGAACGACCCTTTCTCCCCTCAGTCCGCCGACACTATCGACACTGGCGATATCTCTGGCCCCGAGCCTGAGGCTATCGTCCAGGCTCGTCACAAGGCTCGATCAGAGTCGATGTCCGAGCAACTTTCCGAAAAGTTTTCCAACATGAAGTTTCCCCAGCCTGAGAGGATCTTTGGCCCCAATGAAGGAGGAAGCCAGTCTGCGCAGGAGCACAATGGTGGAAGGGAAGGGGTGAGCGCAGAAGATTGGGACAAGATCAAGCTGGCGGATGAGGTGCCGGAGGCAGTCAAGGAGCCTACCAGGATGACCCACTCCAGGCATGGCAGTAGAGTGTGAGTCCTATTCTACTATATCGGATGTTGCTGATTCAAGTTTAGCGAGCCCCCAACTCCCAAGGAGCCTACTACTATTAAGGAAACCCCCGAGCCTTCTGCTGCTGGTGCCAAGGAGCAGAAGATCACTCCTTTTGACGTCGAAGCCGGTGTTGATGCTGAAGGGAAGCTTCTGGCTATGTAAGTATCATGTTCTGGCTCACAACGCATTGACTGACGATGTATAGTGACTATGACAAGATCACCAAGCGATTCGGCGCCAACATCATCCAGCAAGACTTGCTCGAGCGATTCGAGAGGCTCACTGGCCAGAAGCCCCATCCTCTCATGAGGCGAGGTACTTTCTACTCTCATCGGTATGTCTCATTAGGCTATAGGGGGCGCTCGCTGACTGTGCTGGACAGTGATTTCAACCTCATTCTCGACCGATACGAGAAAGGCCAGCCGTTTTACCTTTACACTGGCCGAGGGCCCAGTTCCGACTCTATGCACATGGGCCACCTTGTCCCCTTCATGTTTACTGCGTGAGTCGTATCATCTTCAGTTCTACGGTATCTGACTTCCGCGCAGGTACCTCCAGAGGGTGTTTAACGTACCGCTCGTGATCCAAGTCACCGATGACGAAAAGTACCTCCTCGAGCGAGATGCCAAGAAGCAAGCCGATCTTATGAAGAAGAACAAGATCAAGAAGCCTATCGACCTGTTGAGGCACTACAAGAAGATGGGGCAGGAGAACATTCGGGATATCATTGCGTGTGGTGTCATCCCCGAGAAGACTTTTATCTTTTCGGATTTGAACAATGTCAGGTGAGTGGCTCGTATCAGAGATGGGGCTGAAGCTGATTGGATGTAGCGGCACTTTCTACGAAAATGTTGTGCTCATCTCCAAGACTATCACTCTCAGTCAGAGCAAGAACGTCTTTGGTTTCGCCGACTCGTAAGTTGACCCGCGACTATTGGGCATACAGCTGACATGTATCAGCGACAACGTCGGCATGTACCACTTTGCTGCCGTCCAGGCCACTCCCTCATTCTGCAACTCTTTCCCTCAAATCTTTGGCACTCGTGACGACATCCCCGCTCTTATCCCTTGTGCCATCGACCAAGACCCTTACGTGCGTCCCCTCTTCGTCGATCTGGTTCACAGACTGACATTACAACGAAGTTCCTCCTTACCCGAGATTCCGCCGACCGACTCGGCTACAAAAAGCCCGCCCTCCTCCACTCCAAATTCCTCCCCGCCCTCCAAGGCGCCGGTACCAAGATGTCCGCCTCCAAGGACCACACCGCCATCTTCATGACCGACGACGCCAAAAAGATTGCCAAGAAAATCAAGTCGCACGCGTTCTCTGGCGGTGGTGCGAGCAAGGAGATTCATGAGAGGGATGGTGGCAACCCGGATGTGGATATCGCGTATCAGTATTTGACGTACTTTGAGGAGGATGATGCGAAGATGGAACGGTTGGCGAATGAGTATAGGGCGGGTACGCTGAGTACTAGTCAGATGAAGGAGGCCTGTATTGAGAAGCTCCAGGAGGTTGTGGCAGAGTTCCAGAAGGTAAGTTCTTGTTTCTTACGTCTTGTTTCTGAGAGTATTGGGAATCTATGCTGATGGTAATGCAGAACCGGGCGTTGGTGACGGATGAAGTCTTGCAGTACTTCCAAGACCCCACAAGGAAGATTGACCCTCGACCCAAGGCTCGTGATGCTGCTGCTACCGACAGTGCCGCTCCTGCGGCTACTTCTGTCCCTGGCGCACCTTCCGCTTAGCTTCATTGTGCTGTGCGAGAAGAGAATGAGAATGAGTATACTGTAGAGAGATCTTGGAGTGGTTATGAAGCGTAGATAGATTGGATAGTATGAACGGTCTATGCATTTGACCTCGGGTCGGAAAACGACGATAGTTTGAAGCGATTTGGTCCAGTCGGAAGGTCTTTGCAGAGGAGAGTTTCATACTGGATCGACGTCAAGCACAACGGGAACAAAATTACTCTGTTATCCTCCCGCTACGTACGCTGCTCGTTGAGTTCGAGCAAGAGTACATTTCTGTACCCTTCTGCGTTTCCATATACACCCAGCATGCCTCCTCGCAAAGCCGGAATCGCAAACAAGGGTGCCTCTGATGTCGATCCCTCCGCTGACTCGACATCCGGGCGTCAGACCAGAAGTAAGACCGGTCAAGAGCGAGATGGTGAAGGTAGCAAACATGAACAGAGTTCTATTAAAGCAATCGGGTGGAAGATTGTCTTTGCGGGTCTGGAGGAGTACGAAGAGGATTATCGTTGAAGTACGCGCGCCGCCTGGAATGACCCTTGAGGGAATGGGGATGACGAGGGCTTTGCATATGCTAGCTTTTGACTCTGGTTCAAGTTGACATGATGCTTTTCTTGTCGGTGATCATTCTCAACTTTGGGCAGTGGGAGCTTCATGATGATACACAAGGAATGCTGTGCCATCAGACATGTTGCGGGGAAACGGGACTTCTTCGGAATTCTCCATCATTCCTTGTCCAGTCTTTTAGGTTTTCATGATGATGCATTTCATGATATAACGATCTGACTCATACGAAAGCTTGTAAATGATATCAGTTGCTGGAATCCAGCGTCAGCACCCAGTCACAGGCCACAGGCCATAGCAGGTGATTCGATTCACCGATCATGAGATCTTCGATAAATACTCGGCTTTAGATAACGATCGCTCTCCTCTCTTTTCTTTCGCTGTCTTCTGCGGCAACTTGGCTAATGTGTAGGTAGCCGACCGCGGATGGGCGGATAAATAGAACCCCACCCCTGCTTTGATCGAATTAGACATAAGATACCAACACCGATCTTTGAGGAGCAAGGAGGTGCCAAATATTTTAGCACAGCAGCGCAAAGGGCGCACAGGTGTATCAAAAGCCAAAGATGTAGCGTTATCTGTGCCTTTCGGTTATAACGTGATTGATCACGTTCTCACCTGTCAAACGTGCCAGAGAGACCAGAAAGTCAAGAGTTGTACGGACACGGCGAGTGAGTTGCCGCTGGCCAGACTGGCGGCCGGTTATCCGATGATCATACGGGTATATGCTATCCATACGGCCCGGTTCTTTCTTTTGTATTGGACATACGACATGCAAGCAATGGAGTATCGGTACGTCGGTACAGAAGTCGGTAGCTTTGTCGATTGATCCCGAGTTTCCCGTGGTAAATGCATATGGGCGAAGATGGAAGCTCTGGAAGAATGGTATGAGCGGGACGATAACCTTGATAAGCGAGTGTGAGACATTCATCGAGCTGTTGACCTTTCCGTTTCCCGAAAAGTACGAGTACGAGTACTTGAAAAGTATATGGCAAGGCTGTATGTAGCTCAGCGATGAGATCTCACCATATCGCGCGAGACGACCACACTCTCCGCTCTGCCGTATGCCGGGTACCGGCCCCATGAACAGTCCATGCCACACCCAACATAATGGAACCGGTTTTTGTCAGCAAGAGCACGTCAAAGCCAATATTGGAGGCCGACGAACCAAAGATCGACAACGAGAGAAGCAGATCGTTTCTTTGAACATTTTTTTCCAAAGAGGCAAATTTTGGTATCTCGATGAGGAGGGTCCCAGATGCACCAAACGAGATGTAGACGGACTGTACCTATAGAGCGAGATAATCACGTTGGGGTTTTCTAACCTGGGACGGGGTGACGAGAGGGGTGTACCTGTGCGAGGTGTAAAGCGATGATGTGGCGGCAATTGTCAGACAATGCTTCTACCCTGATACAGTTGTTATGGATGTCTTGTTGGTGGTACACTTGGAAACGGAGACTCATGGTGTCCTCAACACCAGGAAGATCTCTCCCTTTAAGCATGAGACGATGATATTGAGCAGGTGCAGATCTTGATTTCTTTGATCGAGTTCTGCAGTGAGATCTCTGGAATCTGGCTGTACCAGGCAAAAGGGGCACGATACATATGCTGTATAGGCAGATTTCGGCCACTATCCATTGGCTCGCCGCTAGCGTAGCTCATTCCGATATCTATGGAGGAGACCGATGATGGTGTTACGTTTTGTTTACGAAACAATTACGAAACAGGCTCTGTTGGCATGAGACGGAGGGAAGATTTGATCCCGTCGGCTTTGACTATGGCCTGCGCCTGATTAGCGGAAGCCAAAAGCAACGCGCTCTCTTGCTCTTGCCTCCTCCGCCTAAAACGCGTGTTTTTTCATCACCAACCGATCGTACTCGCCGATCGCTCTCGCTAGCCAACCCCCCTCCCTTGCCAGGTGCGTTGCCGTTACCACCTCTGCTGCGGACAATCAGCTGACCATGCCCTGCCCTCCACCCTCCACAAACTCTACTTCTTGCCCCCTGATTATCCCCGGCTGCTGCGATTCTCTTGATGACCGACAATTGCACTCGGCTTCTTCTTCATCTCCTATTCTCGGCTTTGACGTCGGTTACCATGGTCTATCCACCACCACGACGCCTCGACATATCGTATCTGTGTTCTTCCGCCTGATCATCGATCAAACCTCGCCCATTCATATATTCGCCCGTCTTTCCAATTCCCTTTCCTCTTTTGAACCGCCTCGAAACAACGACCATGTCTCCAGATTCACAAGACCTCGAAGCCATCGCCCGGATGCAGGAACGCCAGGCCCAATGGGGCTATCCAACAGGCTCCCTCTCCCCCGCCGAATCACCCCAATCCTACAGCTCCATCCCCCTCTCCCACTCGCACTCTCAATCCCAAGGCGGCTCCCCACATCTTTTCAATTTTATGCCGCACCAAGGACCCGCTGGCGTTGGGCTCAGCGCCGGGGGCCGGATAGGGGCGAATGCGAATACGGGGTTCATGGGGAGTAGTGTCAACCCGAGTGGGTTTGGAGTGTCGGGGGGGATGCACCCTGGGAGTCATCCGTTTGGGGGCAGGCCGCCGACTATTGCGTCTGTTGATCAGTCGATGTTGCCGGCTATCTTTGAGAACCATTCCGGACGGGGAAGACCGAAGAGCAAGCTGCAGAAAGCAAAGCCGCAAGGGCTGGGGTCGGAGAGAAAGTCTAGAAAGAAGGTGGCCAAGGCTTGTTTGGCGTGTCAGAAGAGTCACTTGACTTGTGATGAACGTGAGTATTTTTTCTGCGAGTTCGCTTGACCGGGCTGATAAGGATTAGAACGACCGTGTACGAGGTGTATCAAGAAGGGCATGGCAGACAAGTGTGTCGAGGGTGTACGAAAGAAGGCCAAGTATCTTATGGAAGGAGATGAGCGAGGTATATCTTCTTTTGTGCCTTCGAAAAGCTTATCTGACTTTTCGCAGTATCCAACCGCCCGTCCCAAGCTTCAAGTATGCACTCTACTCCTCAATCAACCACTGTTTCCCTTCCCGCCATTCCTCAACTCTCCAACACTGTGCACGATGCTCCTACACGTATCCCCGACGACGTCTGGCTTGCCAACGCTGTTGGCCGAGATCAACAACCGATCAATATACCGACTGCTCTCAATATCACTCAGCCTGATATCTGGGCTGGTACAGATCTCGGTCCGAGCTCGTTCCGTAAGTGCCTATGATCTTAATAGTGTTCAAGTTGACGATCAGTAGCTTCGTCTGGCGGAATCAACGGTACTGCCGCGAACAATGAGTATCAAATGCTGGACGCCATGTTTGCTTCCCTCTCCCCCGTCTACCCTGGGCTAAACGACCCCCTGGACGAAGCCGGCCGACAACTCCTCTCCGGCTCCAACTCTCTAACCAACTCCAACCCTCTCGACCTCGCCAACACGCCCCTCCCCCAACCCAACCCTACCCTCTCACAGAATACGTACGACCAACCATGGCTGCACCCTTCCCCCCAATCACAGCAAAGCCAAGGTACTTACCAAACGCCCCCAGGCTCGTCTATTCATGGCATTTCGCCGGAATTCGGCGGGACGGGGACGGGGAGTGGGCTGTCGCCGGGGACGTGGGGGAGTTGGTCCGACTCGGGGCCGGCGGGACAGATTATGCTGGATGGGAGCAGTGTGGGGGGCGGGAGTGGGGTTGATTTGGGGCAAGTGAGGGGGCCGGGGGCGGTGGAGAATCGGTTGGGGCAGGGGATGGGGATGGGGCCGAGGACGGCTTCGGAGATCTACAGGAATGTCATTAAGCCTTTGTGAGTTTTTCTTCCGATTTGGATGAGGGAGGAGGGCTGATGTTGGGTAGTGATTATACGCAGGGGTATCATGTTTTGATGGATTATCTCGCCAAACAGTGAGCCAGGCACTTTCAATCCGGACAATAGCTGACCCAGCGCTAGCTTTGAAACACCCGACGTTCTTCGAGTCGTCCAATCTCTCGCCTCCTTCCGTCCCTCCCTCATCGCCCTCCAGTAAGCCTCCTCCCTCTATACTCCCATTCCAATCCACTAACGCACCACGCAGAATGCCAATGTCCGAAGAAGACGAAGTCTTCCTCGAACGTTCCTTCCAACGCACCCTCCTCGAGCTTGAAAAGCTCATCTCGTACTCTGCGACCCCGACGGCAGTGTGGAGGCGGACGGGCGAGATTTGTTATGCGAACCCCGAGTTTGCGGGCTTGGTCAAGAGGTCGGAGGGAGAGTTGGTGGGGAAGGGCAAGTTTATCTATGAGTTGTTTGATAAGCCTTCGTGAGTCTCCCCTCCTTCTCAATGCTGGTGAAAGCAGTGGCTGACGTCTGGGGCAATAGGGTTGTGTCGTACTGGGAAAACTTTTCAGTCCACGCATTCGAAAACACGACGCAAAACTTTTTCCAGCCCATCTCCCTATCCACCTCTCCTGATGCCTCGTTCAATTCAAATCCCAACTACAACCAGAATCAGGAAGCGGGCGGGATGGGGATGGGGATGGGAGCGGGAGGAGCGGGGTTGTTGGGGTGTACGTGTTGTTTGACGATAAGGAGGGATGTGTTTGATTTGCCGTCGGTGGTGATTGGGCAGTTTTTGCCGGTGCCCAAGTAAGGGAGCGAGGTTGGGTTCAAAGAGATGAGGGGGCTAGATGGAAAAGTTGAAGAAAGTGTATTTGTATCTCGTTTCTGTCCTTCCGGTGTTCTTCTCGTGTCTAGAGTTTCACGGACTTTTCTTTTTCCGTTCTTTTGATTATCACTTCTCTCTCCTTGGTTTTGTGGGTTCAGAGTCATCTATAGAGTTTCTTTGAGATTGAATGTCATACAACATGGTATTACCGTTCACTTTCCACAGTCAGTGCTTGTGAACATGCGGTCATGGAGGCGCAGGTGGCGTGAGACGTGATGAGCAGGATAAAGTCTTGCAACAAACGGCCACAGGAGCTAACGGAGGAGAGAGCAATGGACGTGTATGGCATTTTTGGGGAAGTATGAACATGTATATAGACAAAAAAAGTAGTGCAGTGCAAAGAAAAGAACAAGGATGTCAATACAAAGAAATGAATAGAGACATGGAAGCAAGTCCCTCATGAGATACAGTACGAGTCAAATACAGCAGCAAAATGAGAAATAGACTATACACCATATGAAGAACAATTTCCGCGAGAATGTAAAGTGTTTAAACTCTGCCAGCATCACTCCAACCATCCTCCTCCTCCCACTCACTATCACCCCTCCCACCTTCTCCAACCTCCCCTCCTTCAGACTCTTCGCTCATACTAACCACACTCAAGGGCCCTCTTCTCGGTGAACCGAACGCCGAGTCGGAGGCGGATGAGAAGGTGGAAGAAGGCGCTTGGGCGTGGGGGTGGATGAATGTGAGGCCGAGATCGGTGGGTGCTAGGTCGTTTGGGAGGGTGAATGTGGACGATGGAGGGGAGGTGGAAGGTGAGAGGAGGGATGCGGGCGCAGGGGTGGAGGCGGAGGAAAGGTCGTTGATTGTCCTCGCTGGCGTTTGGGGGGAAGGCAGTTGGGAGGGAGAGAGGGAGAGGAAGGAGAATGTCGTGCTCGGGGCGGCACCTTCGTCTGAGAGGACGCCGGCGCCGGCGGAGGAGGAAGAGGGCGAGTTGGGGTTGGGGTTGGGGTTGGGGTGGTGGGGGAGGAAAGAGGAGGGATGGGGGGGGCAGATGGCCATGAATGGGACTCCTTCTTGGCCTTGGAAAGGGGAGGGATCAGGTGCGTCGAAGAGAAGAGAGCGTATTTCAGCGTCTTGGGCTGATTCTGATCTTCCTGGCAAGGGCTTCTCTGAAGCACCGACCCCAGCACCACCGAGAGGCATAGAGGCAGAAGAAGAGGGCTGGTGGTATTGCTCTTGGTAGATACGGGCGGTATCGTAAGAAGGCGGATCGAGGAAGGGGTCGTGCTCTTCGCCATCCCACCCTCTTCGATCGCTTGGACCTTGCTTTTCCAGACCCGGGCCCGAGACAGAACGGGAAAGAGGTCGAGAGCCCATCTCAAAGTCGTCTATATTTTTATGGACGCTCCGCCTTCGAAGGGTCGTGTGCGTAGGAGAGAGGGCGGTGGTCGATGCTGACACCGGGACCGCAATCGCCTCGCTTTCGTGCCCCGTATGTTGGGCATGAGGCTGAGGGCGAATTTCCCAGGGGAAGTGATGGTTGCGAGAGCGATGGCGGGCTTCTTCTATGGCTGCTTCAATGAGAGGGGCGAGGTGGGGGTCGTACACAAACTGGTCATGATCGTCAGCTGATGCGGATCAAGAAACAATGAAGAGGGAGAACGGGCAGACCTTTTTGAAAGCGTAGCCTGTGCCCACGATAGCTATGCCGCCTAGGATGATAGGTCCTGGGCCCATGATGGTCTTTGTAAAAGTTCTATAGCGGAAGAAAAGTGGCGGTAATTGATGTTTCTATTTCGCCCGATGAGGACCAATGTCGAGTGGCAAATTATGTTGCCTGATTGATTGATACACACTTGGGGTGTGCGCGTGTTTTGAAAGTGCGGCTTATGGTATTGCTACGTCTCTCTCCAGCGAGGATATGAATGCAATAGGTGATGAATATTTGCGGGATCGAGGATGCCAGCATCGATGACACCAAGCACGTCGCACAACTCGGCATCCGGCAGGCCAGGGCCCAGGCAGCGGCTTCCCGAGAACACCGCGCCTATCTACTCCGTGGAGAGCGCATGCCTATGCATTTGATTCCGCACCGCCCCTGTGGTTGTGGCGCAGCAGGAATTGCCTGATGCGGCGATTTTGTTTCGCGGTGCCTGCAGATCATCTTCGGGTGAGACACCCAACTGTGTAGTCACGCGAGAAGCTTGTTTCTTGGGTGCGTTGTTTGTCAAACTTCACGAGTGGACACTGGAGATGCACCCCAATGGCAACCATGACCCTGCACGAGAGCAGTGGACATTTGTGCACGTATGGACTCTCTCACTGGGCGCTGGCTTGCTCGGCTGCCGCAAGCTTCGGGGTTTTATTCCGTCGACTTTCATCATCCCGGTCCGTCTCCCTGAACTGAGCCCCGAAGCTTATCGTTCAATATCGCCCAATCTGGGAATGGTCGCCCAATTAAACGTCGTCCAAACCTGCTGGAACCGGAGATGACAATAGGATTCAAACCCTGTCATTAGAAACGGCGTTGACAGTCATTAGAAAAGGCAAGTGGGCCGGGAAAAGAGGAGGGTTACATACGAGAATTTCATTCATCCCGGCTTGTCCGTCTGTTGTTCGTCCCTTGATCGCCATGAGACAATCACCAAAAGCCCCTTGTCTCTCTTCCTCCATCGAGCAAACTTCACGCAGCTTCTATAAATCTTCCTGACTTGTCTCAAACCCATCTCTTCTTTTCAAACCACGACACCACTCTCTTCTTGAAGAAGCAGAACACGCCAAAGATGGCAGACCCCGTCTCCTGCCCCATGACGAAATCTTCGAAATCCTCCACCTCCCACTCCTCTTCGTCCTTCTTCCCCGACAACTACTCCCCCACCGCTCCCACCTCCCCCGCGTCCCCGTCAAACACCAGCTCTGCAGGTAACCCCAACCCGGGGCAAGTACCGACAGCGCTGCCTACACCGATGTCGTTCTCTGGTTCGCGGGAGAATGCGAAAGGGCTGGAGCTGGCTCCGCCTTTATCCGTGGGAGCTGGGGAAGAAGGAGGAAGGGGGGATGGGCCTATGATCTCGCCGAATACGGAAGCGATCTTTACACCTGCTAGGTCCCCTGGGCATAGGACGAATTGTTTCCCAGAACCGTCGCCTCGTTCTTCCACAGCCCCTGGGGCTGGCGGGCCAGCGTCGCCTAGAGGTTCAGCCCATGGGGCGGGACCGGGGCTGAGAGGGAAGGCGAGCATGTCGCATATGGATACGTGGATGGAGGATCTGTCGCTGTCGGGCAATAGGGGAGAGAAGGGGAAAGAGACGGAGAGGGAGAAGGCGAGGAAGGGAAAGGGGTATAATACGTACGAGTCATGTATGAACGGTGAGTCTTTTTGTCTCTTCCTTTTTGAGTATTGACTGATAGAGTATAGGTGCATTGGGCCACGATACCAAAGCCGCCACCTACAAAATCGGCACCGAAAAAGCGTACCACCACCTCAACCGCTCCAACGAACTCTTCCTCCTCGCCATGGATTTCCGCATCAACGACAAGAAAGCCCTCCTCGGCCGATCGCGTATCCTCATCCAGCTCGCGAGCAATTACCAGCCCCCTCGCGTGGCCACAGAGTCCCTCAGAGATGCGGTGGACATGTTGCGCACGCTAGTGGGGCTTGCGCCGCACTCGTTGACGGCGCGAGAGACGTTGGCGGAGGGGTGTAGCCTCTTGTCTGCGATCTTGCATGAGACGGAAGATTATATCGAGGATGAGTCTCGGGTATGGTCGGGCGAGATTGGAGAGCTGGCGAGGGAGGCGCTGGCGATGCTGGAAGATGTCGCTGCCGACCGGATGGACAAGATGCGCGCCATGTCGTCGAACGAAGCCGCCCAGCTCTCGCCCGACGCCGCGGAGCTCTTCCTCAAACTGAGCGATGCGGCGCTGAAGGTTTCGGCCTTTGCGATGGACTTGCAAGGGGTGGAACTGCATATTGAACTGGCGGAGCAAGCGCTGGACCAGGCGAGCAATATGGCGACGGTAGCTGCTACTTCCAGGATCAAATCGTCCAGCGCCACCGCGACCCTCATCGCCCGCGTCCAACATGCTTCCTCCAAATCATCGCTCGAGAGGCTGAGGCATACGTTCACGCTCGGTCTGCCGCTGGATGAAGAAGATTTCAGGGCGCTGTTAGCGGATATGGAGATGTTGGCGACAGAGAGTAGGGCGAGGGTTGCGAAAGCGAGAGGAAGTAAGGCTGGGTCGTTGGCGACGTTGGCGTGGGAGACGGTCAAGCTGGTCGGTGATGCCGAGGTGCTTTATGCCAATCTGCTGAGGGGTGTATGGAGGAACAGGAAGCCGAGAAGGAGGAGTGGGGGCGTGGGCAAAGTCGGGACGCCTACCCGCCGGACGTCTACCCGTGACTTAGTCGATGCGATCCGGGAAGAAGACGAGCCTGAAGAAGGACAGGCCAAGGTCGTTGGGCCTGCGTCTGCGCCTGCTGCTTGGCGTATCCCCGGGAGGAGGGAGAGTGCGTCGTCCAATGGATCAGATGGGGTGTCGAGCAGGAAAGGGAGTGCGGCGCTGGGGGCGGCAGCGGAGGGGGCGGAGCTGTTGACGTTCCCGAATAGGGGCAGGTTCTTGTCGAGTGTGAGTGTGCCGGCTACGGGGAGGAGGGGGTCGTGGCTCCCTTCGCCTGGGGATGTAGCTTTGAATAGGGCGCAGAGGAGGCGGTCGTCCTTGGCCTCGCCCCTTTCGCAGAGCTTTACTGGGCTGTTGCCCGAGCCGCAGACGGGCCATCTGAATGGGCTCAATATCCAGAGGACTCGGCGGGCGTCGTCGACGGGTGGATCGCTTGTTTTGCCTGATGGGCAGTCGGCGTGGTCGCGCAGGGCGTCTGTCATCTCCCTCAGCTCGGATGACGGGTCTCCTTCAGCCTCCATCTCTTCCTCTGCCCTCGCCCGCTCCGCCTGGCAACTCCTCGAATCCGCCGTCCATCAATACAAAATCGGCCTCAACATCCTCTCCTCCTCCGCCCTCCCCAACGCCGAACTCGCCAAGGCGAAAAACGAGACCCTCGTCGGTATCGCGTACGCTTCGTTGTTTATGGCGAGTCTCTCGCCGAGGTTGGCGGTAGCGGCAGAGAGGAGGGAGACGTTCCTCGTTACGGCGGAGGTGTATACGACGTGGGCTGCGAGGGAGGTGGGGTGGTCGTTCTTGATAGAAGGGACGAAGGCGGCAGAGATGGCGGATCGGAGGACGAATTCGTGGCGGGCGGATGAAGCTGGCAAACGGGCTGTCCTCTTGCTTGTCCGTATCTGGTGGCACCGGGCGGTCACGACGCAGGCGATTGATGTGGAGACAAAGAGGAATGCGAAGGATGCGGTGGAGACGGTGGTGAAGCGTATGAAGGAGAAGGAGGGGACGAGGGAAGGGGACGTATTTAGGGTGCGGTGGTGGTTGAGCAGGCAGGAGGGAGAGATTGATACGGCCGAGGGCTTGTTCTGGAGGAGTGTTTGCAGGATATTGAAGGGCGGGCCTGGGTTTGTGATGGGGTAATAATATACATACTGCATGCAATAGATGGGTTTGTGGCAGTGGGGTCAGCCAACATTTTGTCAACATTTTGTGCACGTGGTTCGGGTGAGAGGAGTGAAAGCCGAAATGCAGATGTGGGGGGATTGTGTGCTTGGCGGAAATCCCCGCAGCTGTCCTCTTGCTGCTTGTTTTCTTTTTGTATCTTTATCTGATAACACCATGGACGCCTTCGACCCCATCGCCCAACAGCGGCAGACAGAGGACTCGCCAGAGGGATCCGCCTCCTCACACGGCACCGCCATCGCCCAGGGAGAATCCTCGTCGCCAGTCCATCGGATCGCCGTGCCGGAGAATCAAGAGCCGGCAGCGTCCAGTCCGTCTTCGGGCAAGGCAAGCAGGAAGATCCACAGGTGAGTGTATCTCTGGATGGGTAATGTAGAGAAGGGCGTGGAGCTGACATGCGTGGAAAGGGGCAAGACTGGCTGCTATTCTTGTCGGTTGCGGCGTAAACGATGCGACGAGGCTAAACCCATCTGCGCCACCTGCGAGAGACTAGGAATAGAATGTATGGGCTACGGCACCAAGCGCCCGGGATGGCTGAGGGATAAGGAGAGTGCGCAAAAGGCGAAGGAGCAAATGTGAGTGGCTACAAGAGGATACGGATTGTGGTTGGCGAGTGCTGATGGGACCGAGCAGAAAGCAGACGACATTGAAGAGAAGCCATGTACCCCAACGGCAAACCAGTGGATACTCCCCTGAAGACAGCATCAGCACCACCATCACGTCGGCGCAAAACAACTCGGATGTGCTCGAACTCGGCGGTATGGGCCTAGACGCGGCAATGATCGACGCTAGCTGGAATCAGAGCATGGAGGCGATGGGTAGTGGCATGATGGGTGGGTGGGGGATGCCTACGCCTGCTTTTGGGACTGGAGGGATACTTGATGGGGTGGGGTATGAAGCGTCAGGCAGTATGTCGTGCGGAGGGTCGGGGGCTTTGACGCCCCAGGCAGGAGGCCATGTCCCTTCTTACCTCGTCCCTCGAAATCGACATCCTGCTCCGACACCATTCGGCCCGGTTCCACTTTCCAGAGGTCAAGCGGCGTTTGGGCAAGATCAGGATGATGTTGAGACGGAGGGAGAGCTGAATGATCTTTGGTCGTCGCTTTTTGGCTCGACTTTCCCAGCATCATGGGGTAATGTCCCCGGGGCGACGAATGCTCTTCTCTCACGCCCTGCTTCTCCATTCTACGCCATGCCTTCCCCTTCTGCCGACCTCGCTCTCACCCCGCCGCTCCCGCCTTCATCACAAAGCAACCCGAAAGAGATCAATTATCTCAACCACTATCTCAATGTCGTGCTTCCTCTCCAGTACCGGATCATGGGTATCTCTGTGGCTATGGGCGACTTTGTAGCGCCCCTAGCTATCTCGAGGCCTGAAGTGCTCGCGAGCGTATCATCCCTCGCCGCCCTACACCTCGTCTCCAAACGCACCAAAAACCGCAACCGCCTCTTCGCCTCTTCCTCCTCCTCCCCATCCTCCTCCTCTCCTTCCATCGTCACCACCGCCTCTGGCGCATTCCGTGTCGGCTCAGCCTCCATCACCGAACTAAACGACGAAGAAGCTCTCGTCGCTACCGCCTCCCATCAGAGGTCGGTAGAGAGGCTGAGGTTTCTGAGCCCGGCGGATTTGACGAGGGAGGAAGTTGTGGTGAGCGTGCTGTTTGCGATGAGTTATCATTTGTTTTCGGGGGGGACGAGTAAGCATTTGAGGGAGATGGTGGAGATTTCGCAGAGGTGTTTGAGTGCTGCGGTGGCTAGTAGTCCGGAGCTGGGTGAACATCCCAGGTACGTCCTCCTCTTGCCTCATACTTTTGTCGTGCTGACCATGGTGTACAGGTCGACATCGCTACATGGATCGCCATGGTCGCGTTATCGACATCTGATAGAACACATGATCTGGGCAGACGTAATTGCCTCGGTATCCTACAACAAGTCTTCAAGGCTACTACCGACATACAGGAGGATCTTGCTGCATATGCCAGCGGAGAGCTTTGCGCCGGGCAGTCCGATGATTCTGATGGATCAGGTTATGGGGTGTGATAGTACTACTGTAAGCCTTCTCTGCCTATCTACCTCTATCTCTCTTCGGGTCGGTGTATGAGCAAGGGCAGAAGCTGATGAAAGGACAGTTACTGGCATACACCGAGATCGTCGCCCTGGTGGAGTGGAAAGATAGAGTCGAGAAACTCGGCTGTCTCTCGATGAAAGAGCTCTTACGCCGGGCAGAGGGGATAGAAAAGTTGATGGATGAGAGAGCGTGGAGGGAGAGTCATTTGGATAGGCCGAGGAGTGCGGAGCCGCACCCTGCGGCAAGGCCGGGTGGGTTTGGGAGTGCGTGGGGCTCGGGATCGGGCTCGGGAGCGGGTGGGGGTGGGGGTGGGAGTGGGAGTGAGGGAGAGAAGAGGAGGGGGGAGGGGAAGGCGGATGAGATGAGGAGGGTTATGAGTGATGTCTTTTTTGGGGCGGCGAAGGTTTTGTTGGCGAGTGTGATCAATGGTCCCTTCCCTCGAGGTGAGTCTCCTTCTTTTCCTGTCTTTCGAGAAGGTGAAGCTGATGAGCGGGATAGTACCCGATATAGCTTGTGCCGTACAAGACGTCATGGAAGCTCTTAACAGACTCGACATTACATTCACAGGCAAAGACATCTTCCGCGCTCTCGTCCTACCCATGACGATTGCCGGGTGTCATTGTGAGAGCGAGAGCCAGAAGGCGTTCTTTAGGGAGTGCTTTGATAAGCTGGGAGAGGAGGCGAAGGCGTTTGGGAACACGGGACCGGCGAGGGAGTTGATGGAGGAAGTTTGGAGGACGAGGATGGTTGTGGGCGAGGGGGATGGGGATCGGGGAGGCAAGGGGGTGGGGATGAGGGAGGTTATGGGGCGCATGGGGTGGGAGGCGGGGGTGTTGTTGATCTAATATCTAGACGACCTGCGTCGCATCTTGCTTGTGTGTACATAGATAGAGTGCTGCATCAATGTATCAATAGATATCCTCATGACGCTTTCGGACGCTTCTTTCCCAGATCTTCTATCACGGCACTTTCATCCGCCCAAGCAGCCGAGTGTGAGAAGGCTCTGGCTTGAGTTGACCGCTGGTCAAAGACAGCTTGCACCTGTTCCCTGTCTTTCCCAAAGCCCACCAACGAGCCGAACTGTGTCCAGCACGGTATCACCCCTTGGAACGCCTTCTCCCCTTCCCCTCCGCTTCCTTCTTCAAACTCCAGAACCGGCTCCTGCCCTCCATTGAAAGCGCCGTACCGCTGTTTACACGATATAGCAGCGATCCGGCACTTGATTACCGTCGTCCCCGATACGTTCGCGTCCATCGGCTGTCCTACTGCAGACGTGCGATCGTACCCCGTGCAGGTATCTGTGACGACAGCGAGGGCGTGGCGTTTCTCTTCGTGTTGTGGGGTATCGGGGGAGGAGGGGGAGGGGAGGATGGTGGGGTTGTGGAGGTGGAGGGTGGCGGAGCGGTAGTTGAAGGTGTGATCGTGCGCTGTTGGGGAGAGGACCATGCCGTCGACTATGATCAAGAGTAAGCTTTGTATGAAAAGGAGAAGATAGGGGAGCCCTACTCATGATGGTGGAAGCTGTCAAGGTACCGTTCCCTTGGGATACGGCTTCGACGAGACCGGAATGTTTATGCCTGCACAAAATCAGCCGTTTTCCTATCTTGCTGTTATAGTGAGGGCTCACGTATGTAGATATACAGCATAGCTGTCCTTGTCGTCTTCATCCGTATCTTCGTCGCACACCGCCACGATGATGAGCGGTATGTTCATGAGCGTTTCTGGCCGGCCTTTGCCATCGCCAGGGTGGACAAAAGCGACATGGGCGACGGGGGACTGGCGGTTCTTGTACAGGCGGATATCGGCTGCGGGGGTGGCCATGGTGGAGATGGTAGATGTAAGAGGAGATGGGCGGGATATAGGAGAGATGCAACTGGCCCGCGCGAAAAAGAAGACGCGCGCCAAACAAGCGCCTGTTCAATCGGAGATTCCCGATCTTGGAACCAAACAGACCGTTGCCACGGGCGTGGAGATGAACGGGATGTATAGTCCTACAAAGATGCATAATGATGTGGCTTTTACTCTGACACTTTTACAATCTATCTCTACTACCATGACGCTCTAGCATACAGTACAAATAGCGGTGTCAAGGGGTTCGAGGCGCGATATAAGATGGTGTTGGAAGTGCAAGCATGATTTTGAAATGACTAGTATGATTATATGCGGCACATGTTGCACTTGTGATGGCTCTAGCCTTGCGCAGATTATGAGCATGCGAATGGGTGGGAGAAAGTACCCGCAGAGTACTATGCGAATGGATCAGTACTGCTTTGCGACGGCTGATGATTGCAGAACTTACACCGTCTCTGATACCCTCAATGGCACTGTACAGACCGAGAGGTGTGATGGCAATACTGAGGATAATCTACGTAACAGAGAAGTTAGCAAAGACTATCAAGCATGACATGGTGGATCCACTTACGGAGAGTACGGCACAGCCAAAAAAGATCTTCTTCCAGGGTCCATCGAGATTTCGCTCCTCTCCGGGTCCGCCAAAGTACGGATGGACGTTGTAAAACCAGATGACACCACAAAGACCGAAAGAGAACCAAACACTGAAAAGGGAGCTGACAATTGTCAACAGCTGGTTGAAGAACTATGAGATGGTGTCAGCGTTGAAATAAGGTGTTACTAACAGGACCAGCGGGGACTTACAGGAATGAGTTCTGCCAAAATGAACGCAGCGGTCCACATGAAAATGACGATACCAATCCAACTAAGCTTGGCTCTAATGTTATTGGACGTCAAGAGCTTCGAGTTTCGGAAAGTGTTGACGTAGAGGTACTTGGCACCGACGTTGGCGCCGACGACACCAGATATCATGATGGTGACGAGGGCAAAGGAGTAGGCGGTGATTCGGACGGGTCTGGTGGTCATGGTGATGGCGGGGGAAGAGACGTATTGGCCGCCAAAGACGTAGACGAGGGCTCCGGTGATGCAGTAGACGACGGCGCCGAGACCTTGGGTGATGGCGAAAGATTTCTTGAAATCGTTGGGGTTTCGCATCTAAGCAGTATCGTTAGTATGGCTGAACATCCCCGGTCCTATAAGACTACGCACCTCCGAGCAGAAACTGAAGACAGCCATGTTACCACCGTAAGCAAAGACGATGTTGGTGAGGGCGCCGATGACGTTCGTCAAGGAGGGGTCGGTGGGGAAAGCGTGCCACTCGATAGGGACGCCGTCCTCGATGAGGTTGCTATCGGCCTGGGCCTAGAATGAGAGTCAGTATGTAGGATAGGAAGGGAGGATGGATCTACTCACGCCAGTCCCGACGATGGTGATCATGGAAGCGATCAAAATGGCCGAGACGGAGACCCAGGAGAGAGCGGCGAGCTTGCCAAATTCTCGCGAGTACGACATCTGGAGGAGTCGTCAGTACTGAAAATCAATTACAAGGACAAAGTGACTCACCAAAACGCTGACCACGGCAATGATGAGCGCGTACCAGACGCTGCAGATGGCATAAGAACTAAGCGTGTTGATAGCTTGTCGGCCAACGAGAACGTGAGATCCGGCGAGACCGATACTCTACAGGAAGAGGAGCGTTAGTCACTGCTCGATCTCAAAGAACGGCATCAAACTCACCTTCAGGACCATACCGGTACCAAAGAGCCTTCTAGCCCACGGGCCAAAGAGGACACCACCAGCATCACCGTAGTGCATCACACCCATGTGTCTCAGTTTGAAGTCGATCATGATCCAGCAAGTGATATAAGCCAGGACGGCGAGGCCGATGGTGGCGATAAGACCGCCTACGATACCGAGTCGAAGGAAGACGGAAGGGAAGGACAAGACACCGACCGCGATGTTCTACCGCAAAAGTGTCAGCGCTCCTTTTTCGTTGATCGAACCTGCTAGCTTACCTCGGCGGTAGCTACAAGACCAGCTTGCACCCATCCCATTGATCTAAAGTCTACAAAGTCCCCAGCGTTCTGCTCCGTCTGGGCGCTGAAGGGGTCGTACTCGTAGGCGTTTGCTAGCACGTCGGCGACATTCGCTTTGATGGCTGAGGATGGAGGGTAGGAGTAGGTGTCGCCCTTTTCAGCTTCGGAGAGGTCCTTGTCTTGTACGGGCACGGCGTAGTGGGTACCGACGGTGTCAGACATGGCGATGAAGGTGGAGTAAGAGAATGATCAGATGAGATGGAGATTCAGAGCAACTGAATGGACCACAAATCTTCGAAATTATTCTCTGTTTCGGGTAGATTCGGTTACTGATCTCATTCTTCTTCTGCAATAGTTGATTCCATTTATATGCATCGACGATTTTATTTTTGCTCAGATGTCTGGGAGCTGCTATATGCATCGAAGGGGACTTTCCATATTCCTATAGCATGCATGAGGGACGACAAAACCTGAAAGGCAGATTTTCTCGTCCTCGCGGCCCTCGCGGTGCTTTGAGCTGTTTACCCTTAGTTTATCCGTTTACACGCATACGGATATTCTTTTCCTTCTTGTTCTCGTAATTTCGCTGCCTCGAGCCACGATGGCCACATTACCACAGGGCCCCCGGTTTGGCGCTCTAAGCAACGTCCTAGCATGCAAAGAAGACGAGGACTCATCTTATGTTGAGCGATCGCTGCTGAGGCACAGAGTTCATCGATCAAGGAACCAAACAAAAAGTTGAGCCGCATCTTTCGGTAAAACTTGCTGCAGTACAATCACACATCACTTAACACATCAGAGGTCGCCTGCACACTTTGCTTGTATGCTTGGAGACTTCCTCTTCACTGATGTATTTGTACACTTGGCATATCGTGCATCAGATCTAGACGCCACACTGCTCAGTGATGACAGACAGGCCCTTCTCTCGCCAGCTGAGCGCAGCATCATGATTGATATTTAGAGTTGTATACCGACATACCGACACGAGACCTTGTCTAGTGTATTGCTGTGATCTGGTGTATTTAGAGAGGGAGCTTGGTGCCATCGCTGGGTATAAATCAGCACTCGTACGATGTATAATATTGTCCGCTGGTCCGTCGGTCCGCTCATGCACCCTACCCCTAACTCTGTTCCTGGTGCCCATGTACACCCAACATGCATCACACCCCTTCTAAGGAGAAGGGAGACACTCACAAGTTCCACATCCAGCCGGAAGTCTCTTCTTTGGTAGCGTTGTTGAGGATCTTGACGATACCGGCTACGCCCATACTCATCAGCTCTTTCCTCTTCTCGCAGCCAAGCAACACAGGGATGTATTGGATGGAGAGTGGCACTTACGAACAGTATCAGCCATAGTGTAAGGGGGAGCATCGACCTTGGCAACAGTGGCGCTCTCGACGCCCATACCGCTATCGAGGCGCGTCAGTGGAAATGTATAGTGAAGGGTGTAGAAACGCACGTCTCGACCCAGCCCGGGTGGATGGAGAGTACCTTCAGCTTAGGCTCCTCGGTGTGGATAGTCCTCATCTGTACACCAGGTCAGCGGTGGCCTCACAGAATCCCAAAGAGAGACGTACTATAAAGTTGACAGCAGCCTTGCTCGTCCCGTAAATCCCAAACCTCGCCCACCTATCCGGCGTGATACTCCCCAACATACTCGAGATCACGGCAAAGCACCCGTCATCATCCAACAGCTCCCTCGTCGCCTGATAGAGCACCAAAGGTCCGCGGGTGTTGACGTTGAGGACCTCGTCGAGCTCTTCGATGGAGGCTTCGGACATGAGGTCGCCGATGGGGGCGATACCGGCGTTGGCGAGGACAATGTCGAGGTGGGTGATGTTGTACATGGTCTTGAGCTCTTGGATAGCCTATACATGATGTCTGCTCTAGGTTCGATACACAACCGACGACGAAACGCGAAGCGGAGGGCGGATACGTACCTCCTTGGCATCAGTGGTGGACTTGGAGTCGATCTTGACGACAACGACATCACCTTCCTTCTCTGACAGCCTGGGCATCTTGGTCACATCCCTCACGCCGGCAACGACACGCCATCCAAAGCTCAAGTACTGCTTGGCGATCTCCTGGCCGATACTGGGAAGGAAGGGTCAGCTTGTTATACAAGAAAAAAAACTTTGCCCATCTTCCAAAGCCAAGATTTTGGCAAAAAATGGAAGGGAGTGAGGGCCAGAATGGAGAAGATATGCGTACCCTCTGTTAGCGCCGGTGATGAGGATAGTCTTCTGGGCGGAGGCGGACATCGTGCTTTTCTTCTTATTCGTGATAATGTTGTAGTTGCGAAGATATAATCACATCTTCAAGCCAGCAGCGGTGGAGGGGGTGGAAGCGTACTATGCTTGCATGCATCTTCGTTTATGGCTTTACGGAACGTCGACGAAGAACCGATACGTCCGCTGGAATCGCGTAGAAACGGCCGTCCGAAAAGAAGCATAACCAAGTGTGGAGGCCAAGTGGAGGTTACATAGACGGCCTGTCAACGGCCTGTACATATTGCATAGATGGCTGATCTTGTTTTTGACACCTTTTGGGGTTTAGTGGAAGAGGTTCATGAGCATAAGGGTATCATAGAAGAAGCACATACACCCGAAGGCAAAAGTACAGAACGTAAACGCAAAGAAATTGACCTATACAACTGACCAAGTCATCGAACACGCATGACGAATCTCTCTCTCTATTTTGAATCTGTCTATTACTCTATGCAAGCGCCAAGCGAGGTTCCCCGGGCCTTGGCATTCGGACAAATAGCAGAAACATAAATGCTATTATGGCCGTACACTACCAGTCGAGTTAGTCATTGCCCAGATGAGATGGGGGGGAAGGAAAGACTCACGCCGTTGAGCAAGAAGACGAGCGTCGGATTGCCTCTCTCACTCAAGAGTGCGAAGACGGACCCGAATATTGAGATGGTGGATACTTGCGCTATACCATTCGTCAGTACATCGCCCAGTGAAAAGGAAGGGTAAGACGCACCGAGCTTCTCCACCAGCGCTATAGCACTCAACGCATCCGCCCTCAGCTCTGGCTCAACAAAATCCAATGTCACCCCCTTACACGCACTCCCCGTCCCACTAGCAAACGGCAACACCCCGGCCGCTACATACAGATGCCACCCTTTCGTACTCAGCGTCGTGGCTGAAGTCAAGACGCCATCGACGAATATAGACCAGCGGAGGAAATGGAGGTCAAAGAGAGAGCCGTGTTTGTGGTCGGTAGGAGCTGGAGCGGGGTCTTGCTGGGGGAAGCCGGTGGAGTCGGGCTCTTCGGCTTGGGAAGCACTCTCGGGGTGGTCGTAGGCTTGGGGGGAGGGAGGTAGTGATGGGCGATGGGAGAGCCAGCGGCGGCCTTGGGTGATGATACGAGGGAAGCAGATGGAGAGGAAGAAGGCCTTGACCATGAGATTGAGAGACTATTGGACGTCAGCGACAGGCCTTTGATGGAGTAGCTACGTACGAGCATAACACCGCTTTCTCCGGGCTGGAACCCAAAGACGTCCGTTCCCACAAGCTGCAACGCCATATGCACATACCCTGTGGCCAGCACACTGAAGAAAGCTCCACAGCCCAATAATAGTAGGTTGTAGTCCCTCTTCGACTTGCCGGCGATTTCCTTTTCGGCGGGGATGAATATCTTGAGCGGGGAGAGGAACGATTTGCTTTTCTTTTCGGGAGCGGCGCTATGGGCCGAGTCTTCCGGGGGGATGTAAGGGAGGAAAAGGGAGCCGAAAATGGTGGAGAAGCAGAGGAGGCCGAAAGCGGCTTGAAATGGGCTGAGCAGTCCGAACCAGTTGAACAGAAGACCGCCGACTGGGTAAGCTGTCAGTATATCTCCTCCTAAGGATGTCACAACTCACCAGAATAACCCATCGAAGACCCCATGAAAATGATGCCAGACAAGACCCCAAACATCGCCGTTCTCTCTTCCACCGATACGAGCGTCGCGATAAACATGTTGCTTGCGATCTGATACCCGCCGGCGGAACCGATGATGTTGAAGAGCTGGGTCGTCTGGATGATCTTCATGCCAGTACCGCCACCGATACTGAGAGCGTAGATCTGGGTGAGGTTCCGCAGGGCGGCCCAGAAAGTCTGCTGGAACATGGCGGCTTTGCAGCCGTATCTCTTCATGAACCAGCTTGTGAAGAACAAGTTGCCGATAGCTACAGCCTGTATCAGTCCGTTTCTCTTACCAGGGCAGAATGCACTCACTACACGATGTTGTTATCACACTCATCAATGCAATCTGTGATGCACTATCCGCCTCAATCTTGGGCACCGAGCATCGATCTCCCTCTCTTCCGTCCCACTCGTGCGTCTTGTAGTACTCATCGCAAGTCATGACCCTAAAGGCATAGATAAGTGATGTCTGGGTGACTGCGAATGTCATGGCCAGGAGGAAGGAGGTAAAGAGGACTCGAGGGACTGGTGGAAACCATGGCTTCCTGCGAGAGTCGGCGTCTGGAGATGGAGGGAGAAGAGAGGTGGTCTCTGTCGGCGCCGGTTTTGGGGAGTGGGGGCGGGACATGGCGGAGGAGGTGTAGGGGGGTGGCGGCGAGGACATCAGCTGGGGAGCATATATAGGAAGTTATAGAAGTTGATCTCGGGACATCGTGAATTCGGTGCACTCATCAGACTTGCACCATCTCGGTCAAATCCGACGAGATAGCTGGGGGCGGTCATTGCCGACATCTTCTTTGTTGCCGATCATTTGCCGATCATTTGGATACCGCACTGCGGCTTTCCTCGTCAATTCCTCGTGCATGCTGGCGCAGGGCTAGAAGAACGAGAGACAAAAGGTGTTCAGTCATTGCAGAGGAAGACGGAATGCTTCATGATACAGAAGGTACTATCAGACAAACTTTGCTCTTCTCGAATACGTATGCGACAGTCTATTCTATAGTCTATGGAAGAAGCGACGATCAAGTACGTTTTCCGGTGGGCGACATCCGCACAAAGAGGGTGAACATGAATGCTACCATTGCTGTACACTGTCAAATGTGTCAGCAGAGCTTGAGGTGAGTAGGTGGGGACGGAGAGTCTTACGCCGTTGATGAAGAAGACGAGAGCTGGTTGTCCTCTCTCGCTCAAGGCCGCGAATACAAAACCGAATACTGAGATCGTCGACACTTGTGCTGAATTGACGTTGGCAATGTCTTCATTCGAATGCAGTCGAAAGAAAGGAATGTACATACCAAGTTTCTCCACCAGCGCTATCGCGCTCAGCGCATCCGCCCTCTGATCTGTATCAACAAGGAGGTCCATAACAACTCCCTTACAAGCTGATCCTGTCGCGCTCGCGAATGGTAAGACTCCTGCTGCCAGGTACAGATGCCAGCTGTTGGTACTAAATGCTGTCAGGGCTGTGAGCACCCCGTCTACAAAGATGGACCAGCGGAGGAAATGGAGGTCAAAGATCGAACCGTGCGGTTTGTCGGTGGGGGAGGGAGGGAGGTCCCGTTGAGGGAAGCTGGCTGGATCAGGCTCTTCCGCCTGAGACGCTTCCTCGAGATGATTGTGTGTCGGAGGGGGTGTAGGGAGAGCGGGGCGTCGTGTTGGATTCTGGAGTTCAGTACGCAGGACGCTGCGAGTATAGA